GGTCCCCGGCACCCGCTGCCGGGACTGTCCCCACCCAGCACCCCCAGGCCCCCAGCACCCTGTCCCACCCTGTCCCCCCATGGGCTGGAGATGTGGCACGTCCCCGGTGTCCCCGAGTTTCCCACCTCTCTTCCCGGGCAGACCTCGCGTCTGGGTGCTCCCAGGCTTCGTGTCCCTCTGCCTCGTCCCCAACACTCTGTCCTGTCCCCCGTGGGCTGGGACGTGCCACATCCTGGGTCCCCTGGGACTCACGCCCCAGTCCCCAGCCCCGCACCTCGTCCTGCCCTATCTCCTGGGGCTGGGGACACGCCACGCCTGGAGTGTCACCGGTCAGACTCCCTGTCCCCCCTTCTTGTCCCCCGGGCTGGGGCTATGCCATGCCAGGGGTGTCCCCAGTGTCACACCCATGCCCTTGCTTCTGTCCCCTGGGGCTGGCATATGCATTGCCTGGGGTGTCCCCATCCCCAGCAGTTGGCCCTGTCCCCTGGGGATGGGACATGCCATGCCTGGGGTGTCCCCATGCCTGGGGTGTCCCCATTCCCACATTCCTGTCCTTGGCCCTGTCCCCTGGGGATGGGACATGCCATGCCTGGGGTGTCCCCATGCCTGGAGTGTCCCCATTCCCATGGGCAGGGGACATGCCATGCCTGGGGTGTCCCCATGCCTGGAGTGTCCCCATTCCCACACTCCTGTCCTTGGCCCTGTCCCCTGGGAAAAAGGCCCATGGGGACATGCCATGGCCAGGGTGCCCCATGTCCCCATCCCGGTCTGCAGCACGGGGTCCTGTCCCCTGGGGTTGGGGCATGCCCTGCCTGGGGTGTCCCATGTCCCCGTCCCCAACACAGGGTCCTGTCCCCCGGGGGCTGGGGAGGTGCCGTGTCCGGTGTGTCCCCAGTCCCGTGTCCCTGCCCCCATCCCCAGCACTCAGTCCTGTCCCCTGGGGGCTGGGGAGGTGCCATGCCCGGGGTGTCCCTGGTCCCATGTCCCTGTCCCCAACCCCAACACTGGGTCCTGTCCCCCGGGGGCTGGGGAGGTGCCGTG